ACACAAACTCACTCTCCTGCTGGCAATAGCTCATCCAAACTGACCACTCTCCAAGTTTAAATCCAAGTTTAACCTGGGGAGGTAGGAAAGAACAAGGGGAAATAGGCTACCTTGCATAATGACTTAGCCACTCCCAGTCTCTATTTAAGCCTAAATTAATAGCACCCAATTTGCAAATGAATTCCAATTCAGCAGTTTCTCGCTGGAGTCTGGATTTGAAGTTTTTTTGTTTTAAGATAGCGACCTTCATGTCTGTGATTGCGTGACCAGAGAGATTGAAGTGATCCTTATTGTAGATCCTTAATAATGCGTTGGAGGGGTTTTAGTTGGGGGCTGAAGGTGACGGCTAGTGGCGTTCTGTTATTTTCTTTGTTAGGCCTGTCCTGTAGTAGGTGACTTCTGGGAACTCTTCTGGCTCTATCAATCTGTTTCTTCACTTCCGCAGGTGGGTATTGTAGTTGTAAGAAAGCTTGACAGAGATCTTGTAGGTGTTTGTCTCTGTCTGAGGGGTTGGAGCAAATGCGGTTGTATCGCAGAGCTTGGCTGTAGACGATGGATCGTGTGGTGTGGTCAGGGTGAAAGCTGGAGGCATGTAGGTAGGAATAGCGGTCAGTAGGTTTCCGGTATAGGGTGGTGTTTATGTGACCATTGTTTATTAGCACTGTAGTGTCCAGGAAGTGGATATCTTGTGTGGACTGGACCAGGCTGAGGTTGATGGTGGGATGGAAGTTGTTGAAATCATGGTGGAATTCCTCAAGGGCTTCTTTTCCATGGGTCCAGATGATGAAGATGTCATCAATATAGCGCAAGTAGAGTAGGGGCTTTAGGGGACGAGAGCTGAGGAAGCGTTGTTCTAAATCAGCCATAAAAATGTTGGCATACTGTGGGGCCATGCGGGTACCCATAGCAGTGCCGCTGATCTGAAGGTATACATTGTCCCCAAATGTAAAATAGTTATGGGTAAGGACAAAGTCACAAAGTTCAGCCACCAGGTTAGCCGTGACATTATCGGGGATAGTGAATTGGAATTCATTTGCAAATTGGATACTATTAATTTAGGCTTAAATAGAGACTGGGAGTGGCTAAGTCATTATGCAAGGTAGCCTATTTCCCCTTGTTCTTTCCTACCGCCCCCCCCCCCCAGACGTTCTGCTTAAACTTGGATTTAAACTTGGAGAGTGGTCAGTTTGGATGAGCTATTGCCAGCAGGAGAGTGAGTTTGTGTGTGTGTGTGTGTACCCGGGAAAAGGGGGGGGGGGGGTGAGAAAGCCTGGATTTGTGCTGGACATGGCCCACCTTGATTACCATGCACATTGTAGGTAGAGTGGTCACTTTGGATGAGCTATTACCAGCAGGAGAGTGAGTTTGTGTGTGTGGTTTTTGGAGGGGGGTGAGAAAACCTGGATTTGTGCAGGAAATGGCCCACCTTGATTATCATACACATTGTGAAGAGAGTTGTCACTTTGGATGGGCTATTACCAGCAGGAGAGTGAGTTTGTGTGTGGGGGGGTGGAGGGTGAGAAAACCTGGATTTGTGCTGGAAATGGCCCAACATGATGATCACTTTAGATAAGCTATTACCAGCAGGACAGTGGGGTGGGAGGAGGTATTGTTTCATGATCTCTGTGTGTATATAATGTCTGCTGCAGTTTCCACGGTATGCATTCGATGAAGTGAGCTGTAGCTCACGAAAGCTCATGCTCAGATAAATTAGTTAGACTCTAAGATGCCACAAGTACTCCTTTTCTTTTTGCGAATACAGACTAACACGGCTGTTACTCTGAAAAATGCTGCATGTGGCTGCAATATCTGTCACACAGAGTTCACATAAGACACTGTCCCTATTATCTTTGAATAGGGCTCTAACTTCTCATGGACACCCTGGGGATAATGATGCTGGGGGCCTGGTTCTCGGATACACCAAGGCCTTTTCGTGCTGCTCCAGCACAGGGGCCTCCTCATCCGCAGGAGGGATGGTGTAAAGGCTTACAAGGTGTAAAGAGATGAAAACAGATCATCACTATGCAGGCGATGGCTTGAAAGGTAAAGTCAGAGGTCAGATAATGGAGAGGGGAAGGAGGCAGATACAAAAGTGCAAGAAACAGAGAACTGGTCACTGTGGAACTGCACAGGATGTGGGGGTCTCGGTGCAGAGACTCAGCATCAGGAGAGACAGAGAGCTGGTTAAATTAACAGGATGGAAATCACAGCAGGAGGGAACCTAAATGCCCAAGTAGCTATGGAGCCGTCCCGGGGGTGGAGTGGGTCACTATCAGGGCTTCACTGAGGGCACAGAACAAAGGAGCCAGCAAATATCCTCACATCCTCACTGTGAGATGAGGTCTCGCTCTGAGCCCTAGTCAGATGCGTCTGGTGCAGCATGAATGACTTGTGGGTTGTTACGTCTAAACTGGAGTCTAGGATTCAGGACTCCTTCATGGCTGAAGAGTCTGATTTGTGACGTATACGGTCTGTCAGTGCAGTGTATAGGAATTGGATAGTGCCCTTTTAAATAGTTTGTGAGCCCTGTAGTGGTGCTCACTGTGCTCTGTGTTTTAGAAGCTGCCAGAAATCAGCCAGAGCAGTAGGATGAACGCAGTGTACAGGCCTGACAAGATGCTGTATAGATAGTAACCATGGTTACTGGGGACCCAGCAGTGCCCTGTGGTTTCTCCACGTTGCTGGTTGTGGGGAGGTTGAGCAGACGTGGTTTATAAGACAAGGCAGTGATGTGAGAGGTACAGTGATGACCAGCAACAGTTGCAAACCCAGCGAGGAGGCCGGAGCTCCTACCTGACGCCAGCCTGTGGACCTGTAGAGTGAGGCAGAGAGCGACGTAGCCAGGCAGAGCGGAGCTCACTGTGGAGCCGGGGGAGAACGAGGGAACCTTCCCCGTCATTGTAGCTTGGTCTGGGGAACAGGAGAAATAACAAACCAGACGGTGAGTGTGATGCATTGACAGTGCCATGGTTGTCTGACTTTCACAGCCCTGGTCCACTGGTCAGTTATGTTTACATGAGCACAATTCCGAATATTCGAACACTAAGGTCAGAGGGGACCATTCGATCATCTAGTCTGATCTGTGGCACAGGCCAAAGACTCTCACCCGTTTACCCCTGTACTGAGCCCAAACTTGTGTTTGACTGAAGCATCTTCCAGAAAGTCACCAAGTCTTTACCTGAAGACAGCAAGAGATGGACAATTCATCCCTTCCCTTGGTAGTTTATTCCAGTGATTAATAACCCTCACTGTTACAATTCTGTGCCTTAATTCTCATTTGAATTTGTTCATTTTTAAATTCCAGCCACTGGTTCTTGTTATGCCTTTCTCCCCTGTATTAAAGAGAGCTTTAGTACCATGTGGCAGATGGGGAACTGTACTGAAATATTTTTGTGAACTATCGGTACGACTCAGCAGCGATGCCAAGGGGATCGGTACAGTTTTGGGGGAAAGAATTGCTTCTCTCGCTGGGACATGGCCGCACAGGCTAGGTATCTGAGATGTAGAGCCACTCAGACTGTCTGCGCTGGGATCAACACAGATCAATGGAGGATCTTGAAAAGACAACGGGAAGCCTCAACAACTGAGCATCAACTCCTAGAGCAAGTTTCTTCCCCCACCTCTCTGCAGGGAAGAGGAGCAATAGCCCAGACCTGGAGCACAAAGGGAGAAGGTGTCAGGTGTCTGTTAAAGAACTGGGCTGAGAGAGACACAGGAACTCACTTGGGATTTAAACACAAAAAAAGGGACAGGGAGCGAGTGAGCCAAGCTGGACCCTGCAGCAACACGGCTCGGCGGAGCCCCAGCTCTGGACCCCTCTCTTAAACTTTGCTTCTCTGGGCTGACCTAAGGACTTTCGGATTCCATAGGCCAGGTGACTAACACATTGTTACAGATATTCACTGAGAACACTGAGCCCTGAAAGGGTAGAACAAGTCTCCTGCAGGAGTCTGGCTTGGTTGGACTTGCTGCAGGGAGCCATGGAGAAAACTTGGGATCGCTGGTGCTCAAAGGCCCAGTTCCTGAGTCACTGAAGCCGTGGACCTGTCTCTATGGAATTGTGTGCATCGTGGGGTCCAGCACAATCAAGGGGTCACTCCCAGGGGTCTGGCTGAAGGCCAGGGCACAGACCAGGCCTTGTGAATCCATGACAGAAAGTCACCTCTCACTCTTCTCTTTCCTACACTGAACAGATTGATCTCCTTCCGTCTCCTACTGTGAGGTGTTTGCTCCAGCCCCCAAATCATGTTTGTGACCCTTTTCTGCAGTGTCTGCAATTGTTTGAGGTGCAATGAAGACCTGTGAGAGGCTGCTCCACCGCCCGCCCTGCCCTTCCGAGTGTGGCTGCTCAGAGCCCTTGGGGAACCTGCCCACGTCACACAGGCACCTGCCTGGGAGCAGTTCAGAGCTGAGCTCTTTTGGAAACGTGGCCCTAGGCCTCTGTGTCCGCTGGCGCCTGCAAGAGGCAGCGTTGCTGTGAAGGGCAGTGGGGGGCTTCCGACAAGGGCTCACACTACATAGCACCGATGGAAGCTCTGGCTGGGTCTGGACTGTGACAGGACGAAGTGGCTGTAACCTGCCTTAGGCCAGGACAGCAGCAGGGGCCGGCACGGCCCAAAGAGCAGCCACACTGGGGAGGAAGTAGGTGAGAGCAGAGCTGGCAGGTGAGTCACTCACTGAGCACCTGCATTCAGTGGCGGCTGCTGATAGCAAGCCAGTGAGACGTAAAGCTCCCCCCTTCCTGCCAGGAACCCCCCTAAGGGAAGCAGCAACCTCACCTGCCCACCTTTGGGGTGAGCCTCCCCCCCCCCCGGAATGCAAAGGGCCTCAAGGGCACAGACAGGTGCAAATTACATCGGAGGGGGAGATTTTCACAAACACAGGGGAGTTAGGATCAATGGGGCTTGTGCTACTGAATTCCTTAGCCCTGGTCTACACTAGGACTTTAGGTCGAATTTAGCAGCGTTAAATCGATGTAAA